CCAAAACCCCAAAACCCCAAAACCCCAAAACCCCAAAACCCCAAAACCCCGAGAGCTATAATCTTGTTGTAAATTGAAGAAATTTATGAATAATAATCTTCATTAATATTAATAAAGAAATGATAAATTAAGAAGCTTAAGCTGCTAACCTTGATAGGTATCATTATCAAAACACAGTAGAAGGAAATAAAGATGAGGAAAATAATATGGATGATATTTACCATTAGCCTGAGATTACAACAAAGCATGAGTATCGAGATGTATAGATGAAGTAATTAGGTGAAACTGGAAGAATAGATAAATCTTTTGATGCTGACAGCAGTAGAAATGAGATGATAGAAGGAAGCAATGCTAAATATAATCATGATCAATACATTAACTATGATTAGGAGCAATATTAATATTATCCAAATGAAGTACCACCTGAAGTATTAGCTGAAATATAAAGAGACTCTATAGAATAAAAATATAAAAAGAGCAAATTATTGCTGAATTGTGTGCCCGGTCTTAAAGGAAAGTCTAATAAGCAGAAATTTATTTTTAAAGTATATGGGCTATTATCCGTTTAACTCTTAATAACTTTCACTGTTGTGATAATTACTATGGCTTCTCAAGGTAATCTTTAGCCTTTTATCATACCATTTAGAAATTTAATCTTTCATGAAGTAAAATAGATGGATATTTTGGACATGTTTGGGTTCAACATTATTCATTTGTATTAGCTTGTTTTGCTTTAGTAAAATTGCTAGAAAAGTTCCTATTAATTATATTGCGCTCTTTTTGTTCACAGTATTGAGTTCTTATCTTTTAGCCTCGATATGTATTTTTCAAGAACCAGAGAACGTAATGATAGCTGCAGCTCTCACAATGACTGTGTTTGTTAGTCTGACTTTCCTAACTTTTTTTGTAATAATCCCCCTATTTAAGTTTATTACTTAATAGACAAAGTTTGAATTATCTGTACTCTCAGGATTAGTATCCATTGTTTGCCATACACTTATTATTCTGATACCTTTGATGATTGTGTTTAGAACTAAATGGGTCTACATTTTAGTTTGCATCGCTATTATTATTTTAATTTCAACATTTCTTATATATGACACCTAAGTAAGATATTTTAGCTACTTTAGACTTTAATAATTTTTCTAGCTAATTGCTGGAGGTAAAAAATATGGATTATCATATGATGACTATATTATTGGTGCCCTACTTTTATATACTGTAATTAAATTCATTGACCAAAAGCTAATACAATCATATAGGATGTGGTAACTTTGTTTTTATGGCTTCTTGCATTATTAGGAGCAGCAAAATAAGCTGCTTGAGAAAAAAAATAGAATAAATTCTACTCTATTCTTAATAATGAATCTAATTTAAATTTTAGGACTAAGTTATTTTAAATTACATTTTACAATTTCAAATAAATTCTTAAATTCAATTCCACGGGGTTTTGGGGTTTTGGGGTTTTGGGG